TGTTAGCAAAAACGCCACTAATGTCCAGAAAAAGAGCGACGTTTATTTAATAAACGCCACTAAAATATGAGTATGTTGCGGCGTTTGTCAAAAAATGCCACTAAAGTATGAGTTTTTAAAGGCGTTTGTCTAAAAACGCCATTATAGTATGGTTCTGTAGCGGCATTTTTTGAAAAACGCCACTAAAATATGGCTCTGTAGCGGCTACTATAATAAAAATGCCACTACAATGTGAGTCTGTAGCTGCGTTTTTGTACAAACGCCGTTAATGTTTACCATTTTGTGGCATTTCACATAAAAATATTGTGATATCTATAAATTTAGTGGCGTTTACATTCAAAACGCCACTCTATACGCCGCTATAGATCAATTTTGTTGTAGTGTGTGTTTGTATTTGTATTTTGGTTAATACTAATAGCGTGTGAATTATAAATTTTCGAGTGGCCACCTATGCTTCCAACAATTCCTTATTTCTTAAATAAATGTATCTTTCAGCTCCCACTAGTTCTCTCATGTTTCTTAATCCCTGTAAGAAATTTGAGACATAGATTATAGAACCATAATTATTTCATTATTTGTTATAATTAACATCAATCATATTTGACTTAAAGTAAACAAATAAAATTGATTTATCTTTTTTCTCTAGCCAACTCTTAAATTTGACACAGTCCTTCTTTACATGTCCATTATGTTTTACAAATGAAACACTTGGACTTTTTTTTAAACCTAATTTTAGGCTCTAAATTTTACATTTCCAAAATCTAGTTTAAGGAAAAATTATTCTAAACATCTATTTGACATTTTCCAAACCTAATTTTTGGCTCTAAATTTGATCTAAATTATTTTTAAGAAAAATAAGCATTAAATTTCTTATTTTGAAAAATATTGAGAATTCTTCTAAAATCTAAATCAATTACCCGATTTACTAACATGAAACTATTAGATTAAATTTTGGTATGTGTAAACGACCATATAAGAACTAACTTTCTATGCAACATGTGTGTTGCGAGTTGGCTAATTAAGCATATGATGTTATATATATATATATATATATATATATATATATATATATATATATATATATATATATATATATATATATATATATATATATATATTTTCGGTATGTAATTCTTTTAAACTTTGAGTTATTGTATTTAATTTTAGGGTGTGTTTGGTTTATGGAATGTAGTATTACGTCCAGGAATAGGATTACCGAAATGTAACATTATCTAACATATTATTGGGAATGTTGCATTATTGTGTTTGATTTGTTTAGCATGAATATAAAATTACAATGTTTGGTTAAAGGAATAAAAGATTACTAGAATGTATATTTTACCAAATTGTCCTTGTTATATATTTGATTTTTAAACAAGTTGAATTCTAAATATTCAAAAGAAGATATTTGTATAAAAGATCATAGAAAATATATAATTTTATTATTTTAATTAATATATTTTCTTTAAATTTTTTAAATTTGTAAAATTTATATATATATTTTTTACAAAATCTATAAGATAAATTAGCTTAATGAAAGGGTTTAATTTTATTTTAACCCCTGAACTTCATATAAAATTCTAATTGTGGAATTTTTTTTGTAAATCTAAAATAGTTTAAGGATAAATTTGCAATTTACACTTCGTAGAATTTTTTTATTCAACGGTTAGGAGAAGGATATTTTTGAAAAAATATTGTTTTAAGGGCATTTTAGTCCAAAGTCATGGGACAAGATTAATACCTAAGGGATTGAGGGGAATGAGATTCCCGGTAATAAGCTTACAAAATGTCATTGTTTAATGGCTTATTACCCCTTATTGGGAATCTTTGCAATCCAAACATGGGTATCACATTTTGGAAAAAAAGATTTCCTCCGATAATCTTCTTTTCCCCATCCAAACGCACCCTTAAAATTAACAGAGTTATGAATTTTATATAAACCTTTGATATATTGATTTTTGACTCGAGTATTAAAATTTGTTATAAAAGAATATTCAGAGTCAATGTTGGAATCATTGTATGCTTTAACTATTTTGTCTATTAAGCCTTTAAAAATTATAAATATATTTTTTAGAAGTATTATACAATTACTCAATCATGATATTTTTCTAATATATATATATATGTTACATTTCCTTAAAAATGTTATTTGAGATTATTAATTATTGATATTTGTGGACAATAAAAATTGGTGTTAGTGTTGTTTATTAAGCGAGTCAATTGTGAGTTGGACGGTGCTTAATTCGTGCCCGTTAAAAAAATTTGTTGTTCGACTCGGCTCATTGCTTGCTAGGTTCGTTAATTTTTTGCTCGACTCATACTTGTTAAAAACATTTTAATATTTTTCTTATTATTTATTAAAAATTAATATATTAGTAATAATTATTAATTAATAATTTAACATCTTTCTTATTATTTATCAGTAAATTAGTAATTATTATTGAGACTTTTTTAATGCAATAATTTTTTAAGGTGGCTACTAAAAAATTATAAAAAAAATTAACGAACTGCTCGCAAACTTATTGAGTCGAGTTAGACCTTGCTCGACTCAACTCGTTAAGGTCTCAAGTTGAACTCAAGTTTAAGTTTGAGTCGAGTCAACTCGAGTCGAGCACTAACCAAGTTTTAACCAAGTCGAGTTCGAGTAGTTAACGAGCTGCTCAACTCATTAATCACCCCTAGTTTACATCATTATCTATTAACAGTAACGTAAATATATATAGTTAATATACTGATAGAAATTTTTTTCTTATTTTTTACTGTTAGAGGGTTCAATTAGATATAAAAAATTGATTTTTTTAAAACGGAAAGATTTATATACTAAAAAGCCTAACAAATTTAATTTCAATATTTATATTCAATGATAATTGTAGAAAAATAATGTTAATATTGAAACATTTTGATTATATATAATCCTAATACTAAATTAATATTACCAGATGGAATTCTCAATTGCCTGGGTGGTGTAGTTTGTTATCACGCTAGTCTCACACACTAGAGGTCCCCGGTTCGATCCCGGGCTCAGACTTTCATTAACGGATTAACATAAATACTGCAGAAACTTGTTGAGGATATTGTAGATTTTCGGTGGTTTTTTCTTTTCAAGGAGTTTATTGATTTTAAAATTAACATATTAGTTGACATAGTTAATGATTTATTATAACAACTGATGTGCATATTACTTTATTTGTAGGGCAAAAGGTGATATTACTCATGATTTTACAGTGTGTACCTCTACTGTAACTACCTCATGGATGCTCTTCTGCAATGCCAACTTTTTTTCAGATAGACAATGGAGAATCTTGTCATGTCCCACTGTGATGAAAGGAAGAGTAGTTGTCGATACACGTGCGGTCGCCCTTCAAATCCGTTGAAACACTGTAAAAATCGGGTGATTTTAATAAAACATTTTATTTTTATCAAAATATTGAGTTTTGGGGTCTGCGAAAATCCATAAATCAGGTTCGGGAGTCAGTTACGCGTGGGGAAAGATTAGCACACCAAAAGCACCCAAAAATTGGTACCTAGTTGATTACCCTATATTTAAAATTGAAAATTTTGAGTTTGATCTTTATTTAATTTAAAAATCATTAATGATGCAAAGTTGAAAAGGGTATTCGTTTATTGAGACCGATAACATTCACCCCCGAGCGTAAATGCGGGAGATCAGCTATTGGGTCTAATAACCGAACATTGTCTCGATTTTAGAAAACATGATGTGGTTTTGAAAAGGATATCGACTTATTTAGGGAATTATCAGTAGTCATTTCCTGAGCACGATCGCAGAGGATATACTATTAACTCCTTAATAAGTTAACAATGCCTTAAGTTTTAAAATCAATGCAATCAAATAAAATTTTATTTAATCTTAATTATTCTAAAAATAAATTAAAGCTTTTTCTAGCCTACGGTGTAAAATTATTAAAATTAAAGAACCTAGGGGTCAAACCTAAAAATGTAGGCTCTAATATTAATCCTTTTTTTATTTTAATTAATTATTGAATCGAATAATCGAGATGGTCCCTCGAGCATATACGTGAGAACCGAGTCGAACTATCCCTTAAATTAAAAGACTAATTTGAAACCTAAGCTAAAATAGAGGCTCCATCTAACCTATTTAATTATGTCAAAAGGATAATCTAGTTAAAAGTTTAGGTACTAGAATGTGAAAAATCTATACTTAAGGTTCAATCTATTTCAAGTTAACTAAATCCAAGACTAAATTAAACAACCTAAACATGTCGGAATTAAAAGTAATTAAACCAACTCGAAACATGAACCTTTTTAAAAGGAAAATATGTAACGAATAAATTAAAAAAAAAACGAATAAATAATTATAGAAAGAAATGAATGCACAGAATACCAATTGAATGCTAGAAAAAATTAAATAAGAATTGGAACATATAAAGGAAAAAAGTATGAAACATATTCAAAATGGTAACTAAATAAAGGGGGGAACGAAATTAGTGGAGACAAACAGTAAAATTAAAGGAAATAATTTATTAAAAAGGTGCTAACTTTACGTCTATTATAATAGATTTGGGAAAAACAATAAGATATAAACAAATAATATAAATCAAGCTAAAATATGGAAATAATTTAAACGTGTGAGATATAAACAATTAATTATATAAAAGGAAATATGCATACAAGGATATATAAAGTGTAATATTAGTATGAGTAAGTCAGAAATAAAAATAAACACAAATTAAATCAGCCTAAAATATAAATCAAGCTAAAATATATAATTTTTTTTCAACTGCATTATTTGAGAAATTCAGCCTAAAATAAACACAAATTAAAGGACCTAATAGAAAATAATCCAATAGGTAATAACACATATATAAAAACGGTAAATAAGGAAAATGATCCTCCCTTGGGATTGTAATGCAAAACACGAAATAAACTAAGGGGACCTAAAGCGAGATAACTCATAAGTATCCCTATATAACACACTTTTCTTCTTCTTTTTTGATTTCATTTCAACCCCAACCCCTAAAAAATCTAAACACTCTCAACTTTCCCTTTCCCCCCCTCAGGCGAGAAGTTCACCGAATCCCAGCACTATCGTTTCAGCCGCCGCTCCGACCACCACAGACGGTGGTCGAAGCCCTCAACCAAACCCAAAACACTCATCTCTCTCCGATCTACCCTCCTTACACCGGACCTCACACCGAAAACTCCAAAAAGAAACCTTGGATCTACTTGAAAAGAACTTGACCTTTCGTATGCCTCGTACTCCAGCGACCCTCGACGGCGAAGCAACCCCTACTCACCCCAAAACCGCAAAACCTATCCTTTAAAAGCTAGATCTACTCCTAAAACCAACATGCAAAACACCTTTGAACCCCTAGAATCCTCTATCTCTTCGACTCCCTCACTATCGACCTACATCGGCGACCCCTACTCCGGTGATACTCCCTTCCTCGGGTAATCACTAGATCTTCTTCCTTATTTTTTACTGTAAAATGCTCATTATTTATGATTTCTATTGGTTATTTCGAAATTAAACGAAAAAAAAACGGAAAAAAACAACCTTTAAAATACTTTTGTATTTCTGCTAAAAATACCGAGAGCCAAAAGGCCTTACAATTGTTTCACTCTTTTTTTTGTTCGAATCCCCCATTACATTTCGTTCAGTTCTTTTTTATAGTTGAACTTTACATAAGTTTAACATAAAATAAGTAAACCAGTGGGGTGATTGTGCGCAAATTTTTGTAGGAATCAGGGTATGATGGGCGTTGGTGTTGAAATATGGGAGTTGGTGGAATTGATGTTCAAGTGGGGTAAGAGCATTGAAAAAATGGTGCTTACAATAATTTAACATCTTTCTTATTATCTATTAGTAAATTAGTAATTATTATTTAGACTTTTTTTAATGCAATATTTTTTAAGGTGGCTACTAAAAAATTATAAAAATAATAACGAAATGCTCGCAAACTTATCGATTCGAGTTAGATCTTGTTCGACTCAACTCTTTAAGGTCTCGAATCGAACTCAAGTTTAAGTTTGAGTTGAGTTAACTTAAATCGAGCACTGACCAAGTTTTAACCAAGTCGAGTTCTAGTAGTTCACAAGCTGCTCAACTCATTAATCACCCTAGTTTACATCATTATCAATTAACATTAATGTAAATATAGTTAATATACTGATAAAATATTTTTTATTGATTTTTACGGTTAGAGGGTTTAATTAGATATAAAATATTGAAAAGGTTTAATTGATTTTTTTTAAAGCGGAAATATTTATATACTAAAAAGCCTAACAAATTTAATATCAATATTTATAATGTTATTAATTCAATGATAATTCTAGAAAAGTAATGTTAATATTGAAACATTTTGATTATATATAAACCTAATACTAAATTAGTATTACCAGATGGAATTCTCAATTGTCTGGGTGGTGTAGTTGGTTATCACGCTAGTCTCACACATTAGAGGTCCCCGGTTTGATCCCGGGCTCAGATAATTATAGTTTGATTTGTAGATTTTCAGTTGTTTTTCCTTTTCAAGGAGTTCATTGATTTTAAAACTAACATATTAGTTGACATAGTTAATGATTTATTATAACTGATGTGCATATTACCTTATTTGTAGGGCAAAAAGGTGATATTACTCGTGATTTTACAGTGTGTACCTCTACTGTAACTACCTCATGGATGCTCAATGCCAACTTTTTTTCGGATAGACAGTGGAGAATCCTGTCATGTCCCAGTGTGATGAAAGGAAGAGTAGTTGTCGATACACGTGTTCAAAGCCGTTGAAAGAGCAGCAACCCCTATAGTGTGTCCTCACATTTGGGAAGAAGAATCAAATGCAAGTTGGTGGGCGCAATACAAAGATATTGCCTCCCCCGAAAGCCATCACATTCTCGATCTTTTCCTGCAGTCATAACATCAAAATTTGAATAAATATGTCATTTTTTCCATACACCAAATTATATGATCTCAAAGTTATAGATGCTAGTCATAAAGTGATTAGATTGAAGCATCTTAACAAAATCCTCCATGATCAACCTTTCCATCGCAGGCATCGATCTTAAGGATAATTCAAAGTTTGTTACTTTTGAATGGAGTAAAAAATGATAGGGTAAAGTATATAAATGGTCCCTGAGTATAAGGTGTTTCTTTGTTGACTCCCTTGACTATTGAAAATTACAATATGGTTCTTGACTATATGTCGTTGCTTTTTTGAGTCCTCTGACTATTAAAGTTACAAAATGGTCACCCAACTATTTATATATTCGAAACTCATCCTTTTCGTTAAAAAATTGACGGTCATCTAAGATGGATGTTAACCTATTGATTGTGATATGATAAAATCTTATCCCATAACCGTTTTATCTGTATTTCATGGATCAAATTTCTATTTACATTATGTCTTCAAGCTAGTGCTTGAAACATTATGTTGGCGAGCCAATATTTGAAAGCAATGGTGATGTCAATAAACATCATTAAAATATGATTTCTATCATATCTCAGTTAGTAGATTAACGTCCAACTCATACAAGCGTTAACTTTTTAACATAAAAGGACGATTTTAGAATATATATAAATAGTCAAAGGACCATTTTGTAACTTTTAATAGTCGGGGGACTAAAAAAATTGTTTATAGTCAGAGGACCAAATTTTAACTTTTAATAGTTAGAAGACTCAACAAAACAAAATTATATTATTGAGAGACCATTTGTTGTTAGGACTACACTAATAATTTATACTATATTGTTTATATATATTTGTTAGTGTCACATTTCCATCTAGAAGCAACATGGTAAGTTTCTCAACATTGGAAACCCTATTGCATTCCAACAATGTAAAAATAAATACTCTATATGTTTCAATAAATTTATTCATTTAATTTTTAAAATTATCTCATTTAAAATGTCCTATTAGAAATTTTAATAAAAAAAACAACATTTATATAATTTTTTATCCTTATTTGTCTCATTCTTTTACATCTATAAAAACAAATAAGGTAAACTATGTGTTTAGTACCTAAACTATCATTTTTGGTTCATTTTAGTACCTAAACTCTAATTTTTTTAACCATACATAACATTTAGTTTTTGTTTCATTTTAATACCCTCCGGTAAAAACTTAAGGGACAATCTCGCCGGCCATCACGTTTGTAGTCGTTGGTCGTCGTATCTGTCGATTGATGAAACTCAAACTTTCCAACCCGTACATTTGACCCCCTAAATGTAATTTTGGCCTCAATTTCACTGGAAAATGCTTCAATCTCCCCAAATCGGCGATGAACTCTTCGATTTCTTCATCCTCTGATCTTCATGGTTCACCGTCTGATTGGCTTGAAACTGAACTATGTTGGTCAACTCGTCATTCTCTCGTGGTCCACCATTCAGATTGGTTGTCCTGAGCTATGCCATATCAGTGCTTTTGTTCAGTTTTTAACGATGGAGTACTAAAATCAAACAAAAACTAAACGTTAGGTATGATTTTGAAAAAAATGAAAGTTTAGGTACTAAACACGTAGTTTACTCCAAACAAATATGTCAAAGCTATCAGTCAATTTTTAGTGATAATTTTGTCATTTCCCTTATTTTATATAACTTATATTTATCTCCTAAAACTATGTACCTAGCCAACATGGAACAAAAATTATGGCACAGAGGGAATAATGTTTAAAAATTAATTTACATAATTTTTTTTATTTTAATCCTACATACTAAAATCTAAAACCCCAACCCCCTATGTATTCTACACTCTAAACTCTAAATTTTAAACCTAAACTATAAATTTTATAACCTAAAATCCAGAGTGTCGACACTGTTTTTCACCCGGGTGGAGAAAAACTTATTACGACTTAGGGGTTTTCTTTGAAAATGTTTTGAAATGTGAGGAGTCTCCACCAATCATTTTAAGGTGGGATCAGGACACCATAAAAACCGGGTGATTTTAATAAAATATTTTATTTTATTAAAATACCAAGTTTTTGGGTCTACGAAAACTAAAAAATATGTTTGGGAGTCAGTTACACGTGGGGAAGGATTAGCAACCCCCCGCAGCGCCTAAAAATTGTTACCTAGTTGATTATCCTATCTTTAGAATCGAAAATTTTGAGTTTGAACTTAATTTAATTTAAAAATCATTTTGAATGCAAAGTTAAAAATAATATTTGTTTATTAAATCCAATAGCATTCGCCCCTAGCATGAATGCTGAAGATCGGCTATTATTCCCAATAACAGACATTGCCTCGATATTTTAGAAATCATGATGCAGTCTTGAAAAGGATGTCGACCTATTTCGAGAATCACCAGTAGTCATCCCCTGAGCATACTTGCGGGAGATATACAATTGACTCCCTAATAAGTGAACATTTCCTTAGGTTTTAAAATAAGATGCAATCAAACAATTTATTATTAATCCTAATTAAACTAAAGGTAGATTAAGGCTTTCTCTATCTTAAAGTGTCAAATTATAAAAATTAGAGAACCTAGAGGCATAAACCTAAAAATGTAGGAATCAATTATTTAGAACGTGAATTACCAGGATCTTATAGTATTCAGATATGTTTTGGAGGCACTATGTAATTAGAAAAGTATTCAGAGTCCTTTGCATCAGAGTTACTCGTGTTTTCATATATGACAAGAGTAATTCCATTATCCAGGAAATTAGAGACAATTTGGACATTAGGTTCTTGGAGAATTCTTAGTGATTTGAGCTAATAAGGGAGAAACGAAGATTCAGGGAATTTAAAATTTGTGTCGATCTCTTGGAATATTGAGTTATCTCAAACTATACAACTCCCAAAAATAATACCTCTCAACCGGTCAAATCATTACACTTCAAGGGTATTCACTTTTTAATACATACAACTCTTGTCAAATTGATTATCTTCAGAATCATCGATGAATGGATTTTAGGGAGATGTGCAGATATTACAATGATAGTTATTTCACTTTTGTATTGCACCGATATCGAGAAATGTCAACGTGCTTGATTAGTGGTCCAAAACCCTTATGGATGACACAATATATAAAATCATCAGTGTTTCCAGACTTATCCAAGTTATTCGCTTACTTTAAGGTCATTGGGGTACTTAAATCAATTCACATTCAAGTTTATCCTGGTCACTTCGAAGTTTCCAGAGTAATTCTATCATTTAACAACTCAAATACGTATAGTAATTCCATTTATTTCAACTTTGTCATTTCTAGTAATTTAGACGTGTAAGGTACTTTCGGTAATTTAGCCTCTTGGTGTTTGCTCAGGAATTAGTAATTTTAAGTCCTTTACCATCTCAAGATCATGAGCGATTAACATGTTTATTTTCACTTTCGTGGAAAAACCTTATCTTTTACAATATAGTGGTATTTTCGTAGTTTCATATCCAAGCATTTCTGACATTTAACCTTTAATGAGATTAATCAAAATTTACAAGTCCCGAGAATGATCGATTTACTGATTAAATAATTGAACTTAGATTTCTTTCCGATTAGTCTACCAATTTCTTTTATGAGCTGTCTGAGTCTTATAAAGTGTTTTGTCTTTATTCTAAATTCCGTTTGAGTCCAATGATAAGTAAATACACCTCATGGACCAATTATTTCCAGTCATGCATTTACCAATTATGAATGTGTTCTGGAAAGCATACAAAAGGTAGTCGAGTATTACCTCGATTTTCATGCTCCACCGATTGAACATTTAAACTCCATTCGACCAGTCTCTAACTTGAATTCAACGTCCAATAATTCCTTGGATACATAACAAACGAATTTACGTCAGAAAATGAAATAAATTGGGAAACCAACTTGAATCTAAAGATAAAACACTAAAAATCAGCTTACCGAGTGCGAATTTGGAAAAACGGACTTCGGATTTAGACCCAGGACGTCGAAAAACATAAAATAAGACTTTTCGGGTCAACGGGTTGACACGAGCAAGTTGACTCAGTCTGGGTTGACTTGATCGGGTCAAACATACCTAATTTGACTGGAATGGTTCCAGAAGCTTCCTGGACTGATAGATAAATCCCACTCGCAGTGGTGGTGCGTGTGGATGACGGGGGCTTTTTGGATTGACCGATTCTTCCCCGATCTTCTACACACTTCAATTTAACAAAAATAAATCCCAATTCGTAGCAATAATATGCCAAAGTTTCTGAAATTAAATCAGGAACTTACCCTGACAATGAATGGTGATGGAGGCGATGACGGCGCGTCGCACTGAGCGGGTTTTATGCGCACAATGACTACGAGGCTGATGGGCGCGGCGGTGAGGCGAGGCGATGTCTCGATCGACCGAAATAAAGGGAAAATTGGCGTGTCAAAAGTTTAGAAATGGTTAAACTTTGGTGAGTTATTCGCGACGATCAGTGGCCATTTTTGGTGGGGGAATATGGGGGTTTTGTTCGTCGGTCAACGACAAACTGAATGACAGTGGCGACACGAGCTGGGGCGGTCGGACGATGGCGGATTGAGGCAAAGGTGACGATAATTAGGGTATAACCAATTTGGAGGAATTTGTTCAATCCAAATCGGGGGGTATTTATTCTCCGACTATGAAAAATGGATTATTTACATGGCTAGTCCCTAAACTTTGCCAACCTTTAAATTTAACTCAGATATCTTCAAAATTATTCATTTTAGTCCTTCAATTAAATATAATAAAATCTAACCCCTAAATTAGGGTGTGATAATTCTCCTCCCCTTAAAAGAATTTCGTCCACAAAATTCACTCAAGTTATAGAAATGCATAAGAGAAGCTTTTAGAAATTCTTCATTATCTTCAGGTAGCTTTTACAGAAGTACTAGTCCTTTACTAATCATTAACTAACTGAATGTGCATTCTCTTCAAAACTCTCCCTTATTCCCAATAAAAGAATATGAACAGAATTATCCTTGTGGAATAAATTCAA